AGGATGTTGGGGTGGGGGGGGGGTGCGCGCTCGCGCGCGCGCACACACACACACACACACACACACACACACACACACACACCCTGTGTTTTTTTCAAGCTCCTCAGATTCAAACCTCATGGAGTATCTAGTTCCCTTGACCACCAAACTAAGGAGCTGGCCCTAAATATCTCTCTCTCTCTCTCTTTTTTTTTTCTGCCATAGGGTACACCTGCTAGTCAGAGACAAAGAGAGGGAAAGTGAGAAACTAACCCATAGAAAGAAGCACAGACTGCAATCCCTTCTCCATTCTCTTCTCAGGATTTTGGGCAACCACACACATGTGCAAGACATAATTTTCAAGTCACCAGGTCCAGGATTTGAACCACAGCCGGTCATGTGGGAGTCCAGTGCCTTTGCCACTACACCACCTGCCAGTCCCACCTAAAACTGTTTCTTAAAAACTACTTTTATTACTAGTTTGTGTGAAATAAACACGCATTCACTACCCATGCAACAGACCTACAATTAACAAATGTATTGGCTGAGTTTCAGTTTAGTCACCTTTTAACCAAGTTAATCATGTTAAGTAAGATGAGGGCTGCCTTGATCACAGTTATCAGAGGTGAAATAAATGATCAGTTAAATTCTAACACTACTGAAATCAAAATACTCTTTCATTTACCAAAGTTATCATCAAGGGAGAAACCTTTACTTAAATGAACAGGTAAAAAAGCCTATACAGCAAAGTAAACAAAGCAAAAGTATAACGTATACTTGCAAACCTTGTCTTCCTGGTATTAGCGGTCTACAATACACACGGGACAATAGGCCAAACAACTGATTTCAATTTTCAAAATCTTTACGTAGCAAACTTAAAATCTAAAGGTCAAAGATTTTAAATACATTACCAAATAACTTCTCATCAAATATTCCATTTATTGCTTCCTTTAAGAATAAACTATATTATAACTAAGTAAGGTAAATCTTGTAAAAATAACATTGGATTGTTATGGCCACTTCTTTGGAAATCCTTACAAATAAATTATGCCTTTTTCTAAATTTTACTGTTTCCTTAAAAGAATATGGAAAGCCCCTAATCCAACAGGCTCTTAATGGGAACACACAAAGCCACTCTTCCAATTCTTCATTCCCAATACAACTGCTGTATCATACACACTGTCATTTGAAAAAACTTGAGAGCTTTTGGAAAACATGGGAGATATGAAAGCAGTTGCTAAAAAAACAACTTACAGAAACCCATCTAGGGCATACTCTCAGGTATTGTTTTCTGTTTTAGAAAACCAACCAAAGTTAAAGCTGATTTAATGACCCAACCCTTACAACACTGGTGCCCAATGCCAATGTTTTTGATCATGTATCTCATCCATTTAAAATCAATTTAGCATAATATATGCACACTATTTAAAACTATATCCCTACAGTATTGTGCCATTGTTTTTAATCACACACAAACATAACGGTTTACTAACCTTATCCCTAACATTAAGCTGAAACAGTAAGTACTGAAGACAGTATTTAGGGGGGAAAAGGCATTAAGGTGCCAGAATAAGAAACCTGCAGCGGGAAGACAGCATACCTCACACTTCTCTGAAAATTTCCTCAGACCACACGAAGCACAAAACAGATATCTCTCTTCCTTTTCACATAAGGTTCCTTATTCTTATGGCCCCAAATTAAGCCTTTGGAATCTGGCCAAAGTAGAAACTGTGTTTGAGACAATTTTTCTAAAATACCAGGTAATACTAAGACATCAATATAAACTCCTACATCAAAGAATATGACTCAGGTAAGATTTTAAAGTGAACCTTGGAAATATCTAACAAAACAAAAACTGCATGTTCTCTTGACCCTGCAACCTCACTGCTGGGTACATAAACAATTCTATGAGTCTACTCATAAAAGTTTACTAAAGACACATATACATGGATATCTGGTGCAACCCTTCACTGGGAAAAGACTGGAAACAACCTAACCATCCATTGATAGACTCGTTTTGTATTTTTTTTAAAAGAGTTTTTTGCCTTAGGGCAAGTGCACTTGCTGGGGAGAGAAACAGAAACTGTGAGAGGAAAAAAATGAGAAATCACCCCCTGGGGGAATAGCCACCGCAGTGCTTTCTCCTCCCTCCTCCCAGGATCTTGGGCATGCACGTACAAGCCACCCAGTGTTGTCTCAAGCCACCAGGCCTGGGACTCAAACCAGTCGGCCATGCCATCTGCTGGCCCCATGTTAATTATAATTCAACCATATAATGAAACACATGTGGGCCACTAAGAATGAAGTTAGCTATGTGCTCTGGTTTTCAAAATACATTAAATTAAAAAAAAAAAATCAGGAACTATGTGGATAATAAGATCCTTTCCACATAATTTTTAACTATATTTGACCGTAGCTAAATGCTGAGAAGCGATACACATATTTTTAAAAAGATAAATAGCTCCAATCAAGTTATTCTGAAGAGAATTTATTTTTCTGGGAAGAAATAAATAATGAAATTTGGGAAGTAAAATAACAAAGAACCTACATGGGGCTAACAGGTGGCGGAGTGATTACGGTACTGAACTCTCATATGACCGACCATGGTTTGAATCCTGGACCTGGGACTTCCCCCCCACCTCTGGTGAGTGCATGTGCCCTATAGCAAAATTTAAAATAATAATAATAATTAATTGTTTTTTTTAATCTAAAAGAAAAAGAATGATTTCGACTTTTTATTTTATTTTTTTTTTAAACCACTTACCAGTATTTTCTGTTTTTTCTTTTTTTTTTTTTTTGAGTTTTTTGTTTGTTTTTCCTACCATAGGGGCCATGCACTTACCAGAAAGAGAGAGACAGAAAGCGAGAAATCACCCCCCCAGGGGAGATAGCCACACCACAATCCCTTCTCCTCCATTCTCCTCTTGGGATCTTGGGCGCACATGCACAGGCGCCTGGCGTGAGTTTAAGCCACCAGGTCTGGGACTCCAACAGAGGTCAACTATGGGAGTCCAGCGACATAGCCATTCCGCTAACTGCTGATCCCTTTTCATTTTTCTTTTAAGTGTTACAACAGTTTCACAAGGTGTGGATAATTGGATTAACTCCAGGACTGTTTTTCCTCTTTAAGACTTTGTTATTTAAAAATGTGTTTTACAGACAAATAAAAGTGAGCCCTACCTATTTCACACACCTTAACTTGTCTCTGGGCAAAGTAAGGACAGGAAATGAAATAAGGCCTTCAAACAAAAAAGGAAATTTCACCAACACTATTGGAAAAAGGAATAGGACAAAGCTACATCTAGGAAAATCATAAAGTAGGGAGCTTTTTTTTTATTGTCCTTGTAACTATATGCCTATAGTTTTTAACCTTTTCTCCT